AAAGATGAAAGATCTAGAATAACTCCAACACCACTCACCAGACATTAATGTGATTGTAAGAATTCATCAAAGAATAAAGAATAATATAAGACTTGAAACCAGTAAAGTAAAAGTACTATAAGGCCTATATTCTTCTAAGCATTATATTTATATAGTTTAAATTATTTTCTACTAATGGTGAGTATTAGACTAACTTTGTGTATACTCTTGGTCTGATTACTATATAAAATATCACTATTCTGGTAAAAACATAAGCAGAAATTAGATGAAGTTAATCTGAATTGTGTTGAACAGATATAGTTTTTCAACTGCTAATATGATAGACTTTTCCTACAATTTTAACTCTAGTATATTAAGTAGATTTAAATATTTCATTATAAGAAACTACTTGACAAAGCTTAAGCCTAGGGCTTCTTATAATCAGAGCAAGACTATTATCAGTATTATAGAAAAAGAGTATACTTTAACAGGTTATTACTCTGGGAAGATTGATTACGAAGTTATGATTACACCAAAATAAATTCTTCAGGTAATAAATATAATAAAATTTCCAAGTCTCCCTAGTAGGGTTTGAAGAAACAAAATAGTAAAACTTAAAATTGTTAAGTCATAGCTTTAATCAATTAAGTACTGACCTCAAGAGGTAGTTGATTGTCAGAGTAGAGAAGAAGGTGCTTATATTTAAGTAGATTTCATATACTGCTTGTTGCACCCCGTTACTACTCTGTGTTGGTAAGCCCCCAACTCCCTTAAGCTGTTTAGCTGACCTCTTCAGGTCAGACCTATGATCCTTGGTAGCGAATTAGACTACTCTGTGGTTTGCTAATATTTACTTAATAGAAGTGTTTTAGCTGCTCTATCTAAAATGCAACCATGGAAGTAAAAACTCTTCATATCGTGGACATGTCAGTGGCACGCTGACAGGCCTGAGCAGATATCATACCAACTAGAGAACTCTCTGTTAGGATTAACAGAATCCGATACCTAGGAACCACCTTCTTTTGTAGAGTAACCCCACTCTGAATTGGAATCTCTGGTCTCCAACCCCAATCTCCGGCACCCTTATAGGACCCACACGTCATTATACTTATCTATTTCAGTTGCGTCCTGTTACTATAATACCACAGAGCTTAAGGTATAAGGATGAGGGTATATAAGTCACTGTATTAGGTTTGACTGGCTCCTGCTTATGGGATATATGTTGGGAGAGCTTTAGCTAAGTCTACAAAGTGGAACGGAGTATATTCATCAACTATCTGTAGAACTACTAGGCTTCAAACATGTGACATCTTGGGAAAGGAAAGTAGGTAACAGGACATTTTTGCATAATAATATGGTATCAAATGTTAAAAAGTTATTACAAGATACAAATAGATTCACACCTATCTTGCGATAACTAGAAGAGTTTGAAACTGCGAGAAACACTCCTACAGAAGCTAATTGACTTCATAGGATGTTACAACTAGGTCCAGGGAGGTGTTGTAGTTGTGAGAATAATTCCCAATACTAAAACAGTAACTGAAATGCGGTTACTCAAAGTAAGTAAAGCTTGCGGACCCTGGAATTATCTGGCAATCCAGTTAAATGACCTATAAATTAATAGGAAGTGATTCAGAAGACATCTGTCAGTTGACCCCGAGTTATAGAGGTTTAAAGTTAGTAATCTAGGAAGGTTAAAGTTACAACTGCCTCTGCCGATATAACCTGCAGATGAAACTGATCATTATATCGATAAGGGAGATAATTAGGGCCAACTCAGTTCAACTTGAAAACTAGGTCACACATCTAATGACTTTGAAGATGAGATAATGACTATTGGGAATACTATAGTTCTATATTAACAATATAGTAATTATCAAAAAGAGTATGGTGATTTGTAGGGTTATCCGGTGTTCATATCTTTGAAAAATCCTGACGTTACAAGTTCTAATCAGAGATGTACACAGTTTATATAATTGATAGATGTAGTCTGCGAACAATCAGACATGGAATATAAATGTTG